CCGGTACTTATGCCGGCTCCCCGTACGGTACGAGGAGGAGGCTCGACCAGTTCTCTGCTGCTGTACTCGTACTCAGTGTGACTTGCCGTTTCGGCATTCGGAATCCCAGACTTCGACTTTGTGCCTTGCCACTGTGTCTGCGTCCGACCCTCAGTCCGAGTCCGTCGTGTCGAGTGAGTGAGTGTGTGTGTGTGCTCTCACTCTCTCCCTCTCTCTCCCTCTCTCTCATCTCCCTCGGCTCACCCTCAGCCTCACGCTCGTTACAAAGGCATTCTTAAAGAACATTGAGACTGTGTCCCCTATTGTGTGCCAGTTATCTTGCCAGAATTCTTTTGGTAGACCATCTCTGCCGGGTGTTTTGTTTGGTTGCATGCTCCTTAGGGCTTCGAAGAGCTCGTCCTTGGTGATTTCTTTTTCCAGGTAGTCTATTGCTTCTTGTTTGAGGCTTTTGTCTAGATGTTTCAAAAATTTCTCTCTTGCTTTCCGCACGTTGCCGGGATTTTCCAAAAAGGTTTTGGAGGTGTAGAGATTTTGGTAGAATTCTAAGGCTACTTTTAGTATTCCTTTCTGGGAGGTCTGCAGGTTGCCTGATGAATCTTTCAAGGCTAATATTTTGCTGTTTCTGTGGTTAGCTTTAATCCTTTGGAAGAAGAATTTTTTCATAGCCTCGTTACTTTCCCAATCTCTGACTCTGGCCCTTATGGCAAGTCCTCGCCTTCTCCACTCCGCCCAATGCCTCAATTCAGATCTTGCCTCCTCTAATAATTGTTCGTACAGGGGTGCTCCTGGATTGGCAATTAGGTTGAATTTTGCGATCTCTACCATGGCTTCCAGTGTTTCCTGTCTTGCTTTCCTATTTTTGGCTTCTCTTCTTGAGAAGGAGCTTGCCCAATCACTTACCATACTGATAGCTGAAGGGAAGTCCCTTGAGATCTCTCCTTCCATCAGCTTTTCTGCTAGTTGCCCCCACTTGTCTTTGAATTCTTGTTTAAAGGAGTCTAATTTAAGGAGTGAAGTATTTAACTTAAAGAAGCTTTTCCCAGGGGTATTATCTACCGAAAAAGACAGGTTCAAGACAATTGGGTTGTGATCTATACCTACGTAATGTGGTAACCTTCCTATAGAGCTATCTAGGATTGCCCCTTATAGGGATTCTGAGACGAGAAAAAAGTCTATTCTGGAGAATGAGGTTCTTCCCTGAGTTGATTTTTTTTATTTTTTTATTTTTTTATTTTTTTTTGAAGAAACTTCGAGAAGTCCTCGAGACCGTAAGCGGCATCCATGTCAATGCATACACATGTCTCGTCTTGAAGAAACTTCGAGAAGTCCTGGAGATCGCAAGCGGCATCCATGTCACCTTCACTCAAGGCAGTCCTGGCATCCATAAGCCACAGAGAGTCGTTGGCGTGACATCAATCCGCAGGCATCAGCCCTTGGGTGCTTCGGACATTGAACAATCTTGAGGAAATAAAATAAAGGCTGAGAAAGTGAATAGCAGTTGGGGACATCTCTTCTCTAGAGAAGATTTTTTTTTCTGAGAGCAAAGGCAAGGTGCAACCGAAACTGGACACAGAGAGAGACCACCATACCTGCTCTACTTCCAGGACTGGACCGGGCGACCCCAGTGCACTGCACGCCATATCGCAAAACAGACCTGCACCACCAACTAGCCTGACATAATGTTTCAGCATTTGCTCTCCCCGCCTTAAAGCCTTGCTTCCTGATTGGAGTAATCGGACCTAGAGCACGGACCTAGAGCAAGGCCTCACTGATAARTGGTAGGACTTTATTAATAGGACTACCATATACTGAAGGCAGGCAAGGTGCCAGCCCAGAGAGTGCATCTTGCACTGGCCAGTCGCTCCTAGCATCTTGTCTATCRGCTGAATTTTCACCTGTTTGCTCTGCAAAGTGGAGCCATCATGCTCTCAGTGAAACTGTGAAAAAGATTAACCATCATGCTCTCAGTAAAACTGTGAAAAAGATTAACCATCATGCTCTCAGTAAAACTGTGAAAAAGATTATCCATCATGCTCTCAGTAAAACTGTGACATAGATGAAGTTCGACAAACTACCACGAGTGGCATGTCAACAGATTCATGTCGGCGGAATCAGCGAGTGCAAAGTGGACATATGGACATTACAGAGTGTGATCTCGACACGCAACGTCAACAAAAGGAAAAGCTACAAAGCAAGTGGAGGAGGGTGGAGGGTGAGGGGGGTTAATGATGACAGGGCCAAGGGTGGGGGGGGGGGGGAGGGAAGAGCAACAACTTCACAGCCCTCCGACAGAAGTCTGTGGGCTTGAAGAACTCAGACAGAAGACGCTGACCATGGATCTAAGAAAGAAAAGGAAGGGGGGGGAAAGGGAAATCTGACTGCATAACCTCACACGTACAAAAAAAAAAGGTGTCAGAATGTGGGATGAAGATGGAAAGTGGTCCCCTCATCACTACCCCCAGGGCAATAAGCTAATAACTGGAAATGGTGCAATCCAATCAATGCTGAAAGGGTGGCAGCATGAAGGTTACTTGAGATCAGCTACTGCTGAGTTTTCCACTCCGAGGCAGTGCCGGACAGAAGTACATTCCGCCTTCCTGTGTCGCTTCACCAGTAGTTCAACGCACCCTCATCAGCACCCTCGGCTTTCACCACTTCAGCGCTACATCCCGAGATGGACTTCGCTTCATCAGAGCGTAAGTGAACAAACTTTTGCATTGCCTGATAGAAAGGATCCCTCAATGTGTAGCAAGGATCGATCACATGCGACGACCTCCTTGTCGCAAACGGTGGTAAGCACGATTCATCCATTACCTTCAACAATTCATCATGACCATTTCCATGCAACACTTTCACTTTGTGCCTTGTGCGTTCCTGCAAAAGGTTTTTCACCACCTTCCAGCATGTCGAGAAGACATACGGCGTATTAACAATGTAGTATGTGTCTGTCTTCTCTGGATAGTTCAGATCATCAATTGATGCGATGGCCGTAACAATCTTCAGCTTTGATAGGGCTGACATCTTTAGTCCCGGCGTATCGAGAACTTTTATGCACGAAACGATGGGTCTACCCATCCTCGCCGAGGCTTCAGGCAGAATGACCCTGTCTCCATACTCGTTCAACTGAATGTGTGCAGCCACGTGCTCCTCCACCGTTGCCCCCACAAAGTCCGAGAGACCAAGAGCATAAGCAAATATAGGTCTTCTCTTGTTGCAGTATCCTCTGAAAGCGATGAGGCTACCATGGCGAACCCTCTTCAGAACATCCTCCGTCAGGTCCCAGCTTCCTTCCGTCTGGCCGAAGGAACCCTGACCAGCATTGATTGCTCCTTCTTGGGAGGATTGACTGTCAGCTTGCCCTACTCTCGTTTTCCTCTCAGAAGCCCTGTTGCTTCTGTCGAATAGTCGATAAAGCACAAGAAACTGGGAGAGATGTCTGTCCGTCTGAGACTAGCGCCCCATTTTGTCCTCCTCGGGATTGACTTCCTTGTCGTTGTTGGATTGGGCCCCTTCTTCCAAACTGACCCCTCGACTGTCTTGCTTGTCACCCTGCTTTTGTAATGTTCCTCCTTCATGGATCCATCGGAGTTCCGTGTCTCTGAGGCTACGCCTGCTGCCACCTCTTCCATATCAACCTGTTGTCCGCTAAGGTGGCGATCTTGCCCTTTAACAGCCAGTTCCTCAGGAATGTTCTTCTTTCGATCGCGTGCCTTTCTGGTCTGTGCGTCCTAGGTGAGGATATTTTCCGCCACCTGGCCTGAATTTCGGTCTCCACCATGCTTATCAGAAGAGTCCACATTTCCTCCCTTGACACCTCTGCTCCTTCGATTGTCCGTGTGCATCTGCGTTTCCAGATGACCCAGAGGGCTAGTTTTCTGAGTAGATTGAACCAGACTTCCTTGCTGCCACTGAGATTCCTGGGAGTGTTAGATAGGAGTAGGATTGTTAGAGGGGGGGTGTTTGGGGGTGGAGATGAAAAGAGGGTGGACCAAAGGTGCCAAACTTTGTTCCAGATCCAATTTGCTTCAAGACAGTAGAGGAGGCAGTGAGGGATGTCTTCTGCTGTGTTGTTGTTGCACAAGACGCAGAGTTCTGAGCTTTCTGGGTCTGAGTGTTTCCTTCTTTTCTGGAGCCATTGGCTGACCGGGAGGGCTGCGTGTGCTATGAGCCATTGCATGCTGCGGATTCTGACTGGCCTAATAAGGAGGTATCTGTTCCAGGGAATGGTGAACGGGGTCGAGGGGTCTAGATTCAGGATGTTTTGCCACTTCTCTTTTAGCCCAGGGTTCGGGTCCGTAGTCTGCAACCCGAGGTCGTAGCCGAATTTCACGTCGTATTCGGAAATTGTTCTTGATTTCCTTCCGGCGCCTTGATTCCATCTCCATTCTTTAGGATCGAATTCCAAGTCCTCAATGCTGAGTTCTGGCTGGAATATGACCCATGGTCGGTTCTGGGGGACTCTGACCTTTCTAAGAAGGAAGGTTTCTAGTTTCTCTGCTTGAGGGGCCTCGTTCTGGATTTCCAGTTCCTGTAGACTGTGTTTTGAGATGGGGTAAGATAAGAAACTGGCTCGGTAGCTGGGGGAGTCTGATCTAGAGATAAAGCGATAGGCTCTCTCGGGCGGCGTCTGGGAGACTAGTAGGCCCCATTCTCCTGATTTCCACGTCAATTTTTCTCTTAGGAGAGATATCCATTGAGTGGGGATGCTCTGATGTATCGCTGCTAGATTAGCTTCCAACGAGTGGCATCCCCTAAGGGAGGTTCGGAGCTCTTGGCACGTCATCCAGTCTCCTCGATCTGCAGACCATAAATGCTTGATCTGCCATACTCCTCTCTCCACCCAGGTCAGCCACTTATGGTCTTTCGCACGGAGGGTCCAAGGATTACCTTCTGCATCTTTTATCCACGGGTTGCTGAAGAGAGGTTGTCTGAGGACTTCCTCTTTGTTGTTCGGCGCACCAAATTTGTTGGGCATCAGTCGACGCCACGCTTTCAGGGTCGGCATCCAGTAGGGGTTGGGTGAGGGGGTAGGCTGGCTGGTCTGCTGTTGCTGTACTCTCCTTGCTGTCCTCACTGTTTTGATTGACCACTCTTTGGCCATGATCCAGAAGAAGCCCTGCATGTTGGGGGGAGATTTAACTGGTGCCAGGTTTCTTATGTTGTCTAGGGCCATTTTCGTCCAGGGGAGAAATTGTTTCGTTAGGATCTTGATAATCCATTTCATCTGGAGGGCGATTGCTTCCTGTTTTGGGTCTATAATGCCCAGGCCTCCTTCTTGCGGTTTTCTAGTGACTATTTGCCATGCGACCTTGTTTATGCACGTGGTCCTGTTAGGGTCCCCTGTCCACAAGAAGCACCTGACCCTGGTCTTCAGAGTCTTGAGGTCGTCGTCAGGGGGGGACCAAATGGAAGCCAAATACCAAAGGGTAGAGAATATTGTCGTGTTTATGATTAGTGCTCTTCCGAACAGGGATGCTTGGGCTTTCTTACACGGGGCGAGGCGAGCTATTGCCTTTGCTATTAAACTTTGTCCCATCCCCGGCCATGTACCGACCTTGTTGACCATGATACCCAAGTACCGGAGTGCCTGGTCGCCCGTGGACCATGACATGGGAGTGGATGGGTCCGGAGGTTGAGGGGGGGTGCCCTCTGCTAACCACCAGCCTTCAGTTTTAAGCCAGTTCACCTTCATTTCTGATGCGAGCCGAAAGGCCTCCATGGCTCTAACGAGGGCCTGAAAGGAGGAGTTATTCGCCCTGATGAGGACCGTGAGGTTGTCCGCGAACACCAGCGCAGCGGGGAGAGAAAAGTCATGTAGGGGGTTGTATTTCTGTTCCGTGAGGCGATCTATCGAGGGGTCCTTACGAAGGAACGAAGCTATGTCTTCCATGATGAACAGGAAAATAGGGGGGGCGAGTGGGTCACCCTCGCGTACGGACCTCGATATCAGATAGGAGTCGGATAGTATTCTGTAAATCTGGACTCTTCCGGTGGCGTTGCCATAAAGAATTTTGACCCATTCCCTGAAATTCGGACCAACTCCCATCTTCTCCATGCAGTTATGGAGGAAATCCCAATTAACTTGATCGTAGGCTTTTTCGAAATCGAAGAACAAGATCGTAGCCTGCATTCGTTTTTCGGTGATCTTCTTTGCTGCTTCATTCAGGGTCATCACGTTGTCTAAGATGTATCTCCCCGGAATGAAACCTGCTTGGTCGATATGAAAGCATTTATCAGTCAGTTTTATTATCCTGTTGGCTAATGCTTTCGCCAAGATTTTATAAGGAGTTGTGAGTAACGAGATCGGTCTGTAATTCCTTAGATCCTCTCTGTCCCCTTTCTTGTGGATTAGGGAGACCACGCTGGTACTAAGGAATTGGCCCAACCCTCCCTTCGTCTTGCTGTCATTGATAAAATTAAGGAGGTCGCTCCCCATTGTAGGCCAAAAATGGATCCAGAACTCCTTCGAGAGACCGTCAATCCCTGGAGCTTTGTCGTTCCCCATTTGAGTTAAAGTTGTATGTAGCTCCCTTAGGGTGATTGGTTTGTCTAGGGCTTCCGTTTGCTCCGACGTTATCGTTCTGTCCAGGTAAGACATCATATGTTGGCGAGCTATTAGGTTCGTTGTGGGGGGGGGGGAGGGTGTCTTGGACTCGTAGAGGTCTGAGTAGAAGGACCTGGCTATCCTTACCATATCTGTGCCAGAAGATTTCACTTTCCCTTGGTCTGTTGGGTCCTTCAATCTCTCGATCATACTGTTTCTCGCGTTTGCTTTAATCTTGGAGAAGAAGAACTTGGACATAGATTCATTAAGGGTGTAGTCAGTCATCCTGGCGCGTGGTTGCAAGCCTCTTAGTTCCCACCTCCTCCATTCGTTGAGTTCCTCCTCGGCAAATCTTAGTAGGTCGTGATAGAAATCGTTCGTAGGATCTGATGTAAGATTAGCTTCAGCGACTGCTATAGCAATTTGAAGTTCCTCTTTTCTAACTTTGCGCTCAGCCGCTATGCTTCTTGATTCTGCGGATACAGTCTGGGACAAGTCCGTGTAGCTGTCTACCCTGAGTTGATTTTTTAATGCATGTATAGTCTTTTTTTCCTGGGTTAAGGATCCTGTATGGGTCTATGAGGTTATGTTCCGTTGTTATCTGGGCAAGTTTCCCTATAGCCGGATCTTGCGAGGTTTCTTCTGCCCAAGATATTCTGTCTAACTGTGGGTTCTGCGTGGTGTTCCAGTCCCCTACTATTATTGTGTGCTTATGGGGGTGAATGTGGTTCTCAATTTCCTCAAGGAATGATAGCCTTTCTGCTGAAGAGTTGGGGGCATACACATTGATTATTGTGCATTCCTCCCCTCTGAGTGTGATCTCTAGTTTGTTCCATCTCCCTCCTACACTGTCTGATGTTGCCGCGTTTAACTTTATTAGCTGGGCTGTCATTGCCTTGTTGTGTACTATTGACATTACTCCTGCGGAGGACGGTGCAGGACTGTATGTGGACACTGTAGTTGCACAGGTTTTTAGTCTCCTTATGATTTCTCTCTCCGCTGCTTTATGAGCTGGTGGATGAGCAAAACGTCTGGGGGATTAGGTCCATTCCACCCTGTCACATTTAAGAAGCAATGCCATTTCTCTGGTTAGATAGAATTGATGCTAAACCTCTTACGTTCCAGGATTGAATTACCAAGTCCCCCCTAGTTGCTTTCATTGGACATTGTTACATGTTTTCTTGTTATCTTGTTGTTCTATTATTTACGTGGAAGAGCTGCTTTCTGCCACTTCATCCAGTGGAACGAGCAGGGCAGGTAAGTCTTTTTCTTCATGCAGGAGGACTTCTGATTTCGCCAATGTAGCTAATGCTGCTGCATTGTGTGTCATTACTGTTTCGCTGCCCAATGCTGTGATTGGTAAGGATGCCATCCACCACCAGGGCTTCCATTCCATGTCCCCGGGCAGCTCCGCTTCCTGCTTGAGACAGACCAGCAGTGGTCTTGCATCGTAGCATGTCTGATCCTTTTTACCAGAGTCTCCTATGTTTTCCCTCTTCCTTATCTCTCCTTCCCCTGAAACTTCCCCCGCCAGCCCGAAAAATTTTGGCTCCTTCCCTTTGTTGATCCTCTTCAGAACGTCTTCTCGGAATTACTGCTCTTGACGGCAAGAGGGTGGTTGCTTCCTTTCCTGCTCTTTCCCAGAAATTTTCCTGCTGCTTGCCCCACAGATCCGCTGCTGCTACTGTGCGAAGTGCAAGTTCCTTGTTCAGGTCAGCCAGTCTGCCGCATTGTGCATGTAGAGTCTGCGCTTGGATGCCCAATTGTGTTATGGTTGCTGGCTCTTTGCTCTGATCTTCCTGAGCATTTTGTGTCTCTTTGTCATTTAGAGGAAAAGTCGGCTTGTACTTCGGCAGATTTTTCCTCTTCTCCTTAGCTTTTTCTTCCTGCGTTGCATTGGTCCCGTCTATCTCCATGCTCTGGTCATCTTTGACTGCACAGTACTTCTCTGCAAAGAAGGCCGCGAGGTCGTCCTCCCTTTCCAGTGGTGCAAAAGGGTTTTCTGATAGTGGAATGAGCTGAGCCGGGGTTGTTGCTGCATCTTTCTGTCTGTTCTTCTGTTCGGGCTGTGCCTTCATAATCCTCATGACACAATGCATGCCGCCCACATGCTAGCCGAATCTCAGGTGGATCATCACAAAATGGCATTGAGCAAGTGTTTTGGGTTTCCTCTGCATTGATTCCTTCTCTATGGACCGACGACGACGACCGTGGCAAGAGGGGGTCATCCAAAACAAGGGTGTCTAGCTGCTGCAGAATTTGTTCTGCAACAGTTCGTCCTGGCCGTGTTAGCCCTTCAGCACAGTGGCAATGACTTGCTGAGTTTTGGTTGCCTGTAGCCTCTCTTGTCGAGGCTGTACTATAGATAGGGCTAGATTCGTTATTTTTGTTTGGCTGAGGGCTAACCAAGAGACTACCTGTAGGTAAATTCGTGAGGGACATATCTGCAAATTCGGGAAAAATACAGGCCCAACTAACAGAAACTACCTACAGCTACCCTAACTGCGGATAGCGGACCCGGGCTACCCCTAGGATAGACAGGCCCTATGGGCCTATGCTGATAGACGGTCCTATAGCCTATAGCCGGGTAGGAAGAGGCCGAAAGGCTGGAACTGAAACGGTACCGGTGAGTCCTACCAGTCCGGTCTAGGTCGAGTCTAGGCTAGGGTAGGCTATAGATAGGTGGAGCACATCGGTTCAGGGCTTTTGGCAGTTGGTACCGTGTACGTCGCTGCTGAGCAACGCGGAAACTGGAAGTGGTGACAGCTTCAGCGTTGGAGGAGACAGCCATAGCTGGGCCTGCGGAGCGTCAGCCATAGCTGGGTCTGACGTTGTACGCTGACAGCACGCGGGGTTGTGCAGAGGTCCGAGCTATTTGGAGTCTGCTGGAGGCGAGAGAGTTGGTGCCCTGCTGGACCCTCCTCAAGCGTAGGGTTACAGGGTGTATGGCACTGCAGCCATTGCTGCAGCTTCTTCCTCAGAGATCATCTTGTCAGGAAAGGTGGCGCTGTTGCAGGCTTCCACCTGGGAAGTCATCGGGCACTTCATCTTCATCAGGCACTGTGGCACTGGTCTTCTTCTTCATCCTCTGAGAGGCGCTTGGCCTCAGAGGCCTGTTTCAGGGTGGCGCTTGCCTCTAGAGGCTGTATCTGGGCGACGCTTCATGTTTCAGGGACTCAGGGGTAGTTCTTGCGGTTACTCAGGGTTGGGGAGTGAAGCGCTGCTCATTTCTGAGCAGCGCACCATAGTTCTGGGGTTATTCTGACAATTCGGGACTCTGAGTGTAATAAACAGTGTTGATACTGGGTTCAGACTATCATCGTTTCATTGTTGTTCGGATGTGATCTAATCGGCTTTCCTTTGTGACTGGTTGTGAGGATTCTGTGGAGCGAGGTGCACTTTTAGTGTTCTCTGTCATGTCGCATGGTTAAGTCTTCCACTGTGTTCATCTCTCCCTGTGTGGTGTGATACTCCTATCATCTCCCCTTCCTTCTGTGTATGCAAGGGCATACCTGGAAGTCTATGTGTGTTAGTGTTGGTCTTCCGACAACAAACAACCAGGTTCATAACACACTGCTCTATAAGTGGCTCATGTGGTTCTCGTATTTTTGTTGGGCAAGAAAGAAGGAGATCCGATGGCATTTGCAGTAATTGTATGCCCCACTCTGCATGTGGGCCATGCTATGAGAGGATGTGGTGCATGATGGCATCGTGGTAGTCCACGCAGTAGAGGCACATGCTTTCTATGACAGCTTCCTGGAAACATTGATGACACATGGCAAGTTGCTGACATGTCAGCAGGAAGGCAGGTTGACATTCGCAGCTATTTAAGCATGGCAGATTCAGGCCACGACGGCATATTGGGCAGGCGATTAGGGGGTGGTGGGGATGAACACAAGACAAAGAGTCACAGGTCTTGCGACAGAGGGTAGCACTGCTTGGTCATGTGCAGGTGAAGGAGGTAATTGCGCATCCGGATTGCTCTCCAGATACTGAAGCGCTTGCGGGTGCGAAGTAACATATTGTTCCTGAAGGTCAATCCAAATTGAGTGAGTATTTGCTACTTGGTTATAGGAGTTAATGCTACTTACCGTGTGCACCCTACCTCCATTGTCCCAGAAGGCCCATGAATTGTCTGCATAGGCCACAGCGCTGAAATGTCATGCTGATACAGGACATACGCGCGAATATTTGAGTTCATGTCTGGCATGTGGTTCTGGGGAGCACGCTGCAGTTGTTGTGTGTGTGTGTGTGTGTGTGTGTGTGTGTGTGTGTGTGTGTGTGTGTGTGTGTGTGTGTGCCAGACCATTTAAAACCTGACTGTGGGGTGGGTGGGTGTTGAAAGCCCCAAAACAACATGTTCTTGTGCAGTTTCAGTATGTTTCTAAGCAGAAACAGACAAAATAGTAAATTGCCAACCACCCTATATCTGGAAAGAAAAAAAGAAAAAAAAAGTACACGTATGCTAATTTTCGGAGGTGAACAGGTATTCCAGAATACGTATGCTTACTCCCAGCGTGCACGAACATGGTGCCACCCAGTACAAAAACATTACTTTTCCAGAATTTCAAAACCTTCGAGGTCTTTTTTGGAGGGGGCTCGAAGTCGCTACCAATTTACTGGCTACAACGCCCAGATGTTATAAACTCGCATAACACTATAACGCCCCTCATGCCCAGGTGTTATTTTCAGGTGAAGAAGGTAGTATGGTGTTCAAGCAAAATAGTTTTGAGATAAATCAATTCAGCAGTCAATGCCATCTGGTGCAAATTTCTTTTGAAGCGTGTTTCCTAACTTTCCTCCCATTTCTTTTGGAGTAGGTTTGGCAGGCCTTCTGTTTGCATTCAAATACAAAGCCAAGGGCCAATTATTTTCAGAAGGTTCAAAGTTTCAACATAACACCCAAGGTTACAAGAGGAGATACAGAGGCTGGATAAAGCTGGTAGGCTTTTCAGGTATAAGTAGCAAACCACAAGTTACACTACAAAAAAAAGAAATGTAACTTGAGAAAAAACTGGAAAAGTGACAAAGAAAAACCATGATGGTAGAAATGCTGCTAGACGGTGGAAGTGCCCCATGAGATACTGGTCTGAGATTCGCAGATGATGGCAGAAATCCTGCTAGATATGAGGAGAGAATGTGGAAATGCTGATGACATTCTTGATCTCCACCCATGCATCGCAGCAAGAGAAGCTTCCCCTTCATTGTTCAAAACCAGCGATGGAAAGATAAAAGACACTGATAGAAGGGAACAGATTTCTCTGAGAATACTTTTTTCTTACCTCATTCTTTATCCGCCGTTCCTCCATTTCTTCAGCACGCTTGCCTTTGCAAAGGACGATTGCTGCCTCCATCTGACTCTCCAAGAACTGTTTCATCCTATCAGCGTCAAGGATATCATCACATAGGCACTTAAGCAGTGCAAGATGGCTCTCACAATCCAACTCCCAATAATTAACACAACCCAGCTTCTGCACTGCCTGCTTCACAGGCTTACACAGCTGGTTGTAGCCCCTTATAAAATACCTGCAGAAACAAAAGCACCCCTGTTGAACATATCACTACAAGGAATGATGAACGCACTAGTTCTGGCAGTCCCAAACACTCAATGTACATTTGTATCTATATTCACTTGTGGAAAATTAGTAAATTACTACGGAAGGCCAAACAAAAAAACAGCGCATGTCGCAGGAAACATACCTCCTAACTAGCTCTGGCCATGTCGTCGAGTCAAGAAGCCGTGCCCAGCGAGCAAGGGTCTCTTCACTCACACCTGCTCCCTCCCGACCACCGGGGTTCTGCCCGGCTCCAATGTCAAGCAATGCCCTAAGAAGACTCACATACAGATCCCCCAAAATATGGCTTCTGCTAGAAATGCTGACTGCAGTCATGAATTGAACAAGGCCCGGCTGTGGGCACTTCAGCTTCTTTCCAACACCTTGGCAGAAGTCCCACACTTCCAGCATAGTCCCAAACAACCAAGGTGTCAACTTTCCAGGACCAAAGGCACTAGCTATGAGAAGCCGCTCTACAGGCCGCGGCTTCGGACACTGCTGTTTAACTGAGGCTAGGCAAGGGGCACCCTCTATGCCTGATGCAGCCTCATTTGCTTCTTCTTCATCCTGTAGCTCCAGATCCTCCACGGGATATTGCCAGTTCCTCCGTTTTGCCATCATCCTTTCTTTCCTTCTCCTCTCCCGCTCCTCCACACGGTGCCTGAACTTCTCTTCCCGGTCTTCCTGTAACGGCACAGTCATTTGCAAATAGCAAGGTGTTATCACTGTTATGTGCCTGATTCAGGCTGATTGAAAACAAATCCAGCATTCACACGTTCCCATACACATGGGCAATCACAAGTAGACTTGGAGAGAGCAATGCACACCAATCCAGATTATGAGAATACACAGCGAAGGCTCACAAATCCCAAACACAGCATTGATTTCAATCAACTCTTAGTGATACCGTTTCCCCCAGGGTTGCATACCTGCCAACCGCCGACTGTTTTGCAGCCGACCAGAAGTAGGACTGGTTTCGTAGAGGCCGAGTAGGCCCTAACTGAACCGGTACCGGTAGGTCCTAGGCTAGAGTAGTGCAGAATCTACACGTAGGTTAGGATAGGACTGTTGGGGACTTTTTGGCAGTTGATTTTTCGCGATACAGCGTTTTGGAGCCAAGGAGGTTGGGAACGGCGATTGTCTGCAGGCGGTACCCTGAGACCCTCACCGTGGACAGCAGCCATAGCCAGCCTGCTGAGGGCTTGCCATAGCTGGGGCATCCCCTGCGCATCAACCCCTGTGGGTTTCTGCGAGTGGCTGGGCTGTGTGGAGACTCCTCACTGAGTCTATGTGGGTGGCGGCAGCCATAGCTGTC